AGGAAAACGAAAGAAACAAGACAAAACAAAAAGCAAGGAAAACAAAGAGAAGACAAGAAACCCCACGGCACACCCAGGCCCAAGACGACGAAAGGACAGCAAGCAAGAGAGGCCAATCCGCCTCAATCAACGCACTCGACAGCACATGCCTCCCTGCCACAGCTCAGCGGCGGCCAGCGCAACTAGGAAACCGCCCGCCCAACTAACGCCATCCGACCCATGCACGGCTAACGGGCTAAGGATAGCGAGCGTGGGTCGGCAAAGGAGGCCCGTGCTGACACCAAGCAGATTAAGAGAGGCAGGACAAACACACGGGAGAGAGGGAAGGCAGGCGAGCTAAGGGCTGGGGTAAGGGTAAGGTAAAGGTAAGGGAGGGTAAGGGGTACATGAGTTGGAGGTAGGGCAAAGGTAGGAGTATCTGAGGGAGTAGGGGCAGGGGTAGGGGTAGGGGTACGGTTAATGATAATGAAAGAGGTAGAGGTAGAGCTGGGGCTGGAGACCGAGGTAGGGTATAGGTTGGGAAGAGATAGCGGTAGAGGAAGGATATATATAGGGTAGGGGGCACGGGTAGGACTAGAGGTAAGTTGTTTGAGGGGAGGGGGAGGGGTAGAAAGGAAGAGGAAGGGAGGGATAGGGAAGAGTGAGGAAGAGGGAGGGATAGGAGGATAGGGAGATAGAGGGAGGGAGGGAAGGAAGAGGAAAGAGGGAAAGAGGGAGAAGGGAAAGTTGAGGAGAGAGAGAGAAGGAGAGAGAAGAGAAAGAAAGAGAGAAGAGAGATGAAGGAGAAGAGAAGAGAAGAGAAGGAGAGAGAAGAGAGAAAGGAGAAGAGGAAGGGAGAAGAGAGGAGAAAGAGAAGAGAAGAGAAGAGAAGAGAAGAGAAGAGAAGAGAGAGAAGAGAAGAGAAGAGAAGAGAAGAGAAGAGAGAGAAGAGAGAGAGAGAGAGAAGAGAGAATAAAAAAAAGGAAAACAAAAAGAGAGAAATGAGTCGACGTGACTCCATGAAAGGAAGTTCGACGATCGAGCACGCAGGCGGAAGGCCGCGGAAAGGCAGGCGGGCCAACAGCAGACAAAAAGCAGAGGGAACGGCGAGGCTGCGCGGCTGAGCGGAAGCAGAGAGGAAACGCAGTCCATTTTCTGCTTTCTGACTTTATTTCCTCCGCGTGGCCAAGGCGATCGCCGCCAGAGTGCCGCGGCCTCGTTCCTCGCCGCGTGACACTGTTGCCCAGAAGGAGCTCACAGGGACCTCTGTCTGAGGCGAAGGAAGCCTTGGTCTGTGCGGCAAGTGGTGTACCACCTCCCCTATATCAGATGCCATTGGGCGCGGGGTACTGCATCGGCTGGGGCAGGGCCTTCACGCGCGTGCGGCATGATCCTCACCACTTGCACTCCTAAGCGGTCGTCCTAGTCGAACTCTCACGGGTGAGGTGGTCTCGGCAATCGCCACGCATCCTGTCTAGACACGCATACGCAGTTCGCGCGTTCGGACGCGAACGCTCTTCCTTCGCATGCCCTCAGTCGCTACTCTGATCTGCGACCAGCGGCGGCGCCCTGTAGCCCTATCACCTACGCCTCATAACGTCCTGCCAGCGACCGTTGTGATTCATACTTCAGTGTAGCTTCTAGCCCTCTTAACTCATGCCCATCACAGCAGCAGTGATGTCGTAAGATGTCTCAGTTTACTCTCGAGCATCCCTCCTCTCCCATCTCCCTGTTCCCTCCTCATAGCCTCTAGGACACTCGCCAGATTATCTTTCCCGCAACTACCTCAGCATCTCCCTCTTCCCTTCCCTCTTTTTGGCCTGGCTTCTAATACGATACACCATTCCCTCCCTCCTTCATACTTCCGTCTTTTTAACGACTCCTATATCCTACTCACTATCTCGCCCTCCGTCTCTACCCTCCCCCTGCTAGTTTCTCTCTCCCCTCCATCCCATCTTGCCCTTGCACCCCTCCCCTACTCCCCACCCGGACCATCCCCTCTTGCTTGCACCCTCTCCCCCCCCCCATCCCGCCCAGGGCCCCATCGCCAGCACAGGGCGTAAACACTCCGCTTGCAAGCAGGCACCAAGCAGGCACGGGATGGCACGGGCGGACTTGTCAATACACACCATAATATTTTGCCAATAAACAAATGCCATGCACAGCGAGAACCAGAGACCGGCTGGTGGGTAAGGGAGGTGGGTGTGGTAAGTAGGTGATGTAGGTGGGGTGAGTGGGGTAGGGAGAGGTATGCAGGTGGTGAATGGGGATAGAGTAGATAGAGAGAAAGGAGGTAGGTGATGTGGGGGAAGCTCGATAAGAAGCGGGAGGTTAGAGGAGCCTGTGTGTGTGGGGGGGGGGTGAGAGAGAGTAAAGAGAGAGAACAGAGAGATGAGACGATCAGCTCGACACTTGAGAGGATGACGAGAGTTAAGGAACGTCGGGAAATGAGAGAGGGGAGATTGAGATGAGAGAAGAGAGAGAGAGAGAGAAGGGGATGAGATTGATAGAGTCTTCACAT